GCTTGGCGGAACCCCACTGCGCACGGCACTGCCCACGGAGGGACAAACGCAGGGGGGAGCGCTCCAGCCCGGCCCGCGCCGGCATCTCCCGTGTGGGAGCCGCCGGGCGCGTCGGTAACCTTGAAACCCTCTGTGGCTCACATGTCACGTCGGCCGCTGACAACAACAAGCTGCTCTCCCAGATTAGCGGGAGAGGGACGGAGGAAGCCAGAGACAAGAGAGTTGGGGGCGGCCGACTTACCTATCACAGCCAAAAGTGGGCATGGGGTTATTTTTAAACTGGAAGGGGCCGTATTTATTGTTTCGGCCGGGGGAGAAGGGAGGGACTGCCTCCGAGATTCCTCCTGCAGCAGCAGCAGCGGCCGAGCGGAGTCATGGTGAGTCCCAAGCGGCCGAGCCTGCCAAGGGAGGAGGCAGCATCCATGGGGTTAGAGTTCTTTGACGGGATAGTTTTAACGGGCAGGGAGCCATGGAGGCTCCAGAGATCCTGGGCCAGGACCCTTCCTGCTCTGGAGAAGGGCTGAGCAAGCTGGGGAGCTCCCGGACACGGCGGCAGCATCCCTGTTCCTCCCTGCCCGGAGCAGCGGGAGCAGCGCGGGCGGCCGTGCCGGTGGCAGGGAGCAGAGCTGCCTACCCGGGACAAACCACTCCGGGTTCCAAACGCCACCATTTTCCTTCTCCTTCCACTCTGCCATGAGGGGGTAGTTTTGTCCCCCCAAACTCTCCCGCTGCTTCCTCTTGGCAGCAGGGCTCGGCTGGAAGGGAGAAGCGGCGGGTGAAAGGCAGGGAGACGCGGAGGCCTCACGGGGAGCTGGTCATCCTCACCTCCTCCCCAAAACACTGCTCAGGTCAGGTTGTTTCAAGCCTCAGTGCAGTAGGAGACAGATTTTTTAATGAGCAAAAAAGCATTTTGCTTTGCTTGCGATCCCGCTGCTCGGCTTTCCTGTCATCTATTTGGCAAAATTCATCAGGGGAGCAAGGACGGAGGGGCAGCGTAGGCTGAAACTCACACGAACCCCGCAGCGTCCCCAGCGTCACTCGTGATCACACGGGACGAGGCACAGCGGGTGCCGCTTGCAGCGACCACGGAGGACGGAGGACTGAGAGTAGGAGAGTTTCAGGCTTTTATTCCACACTATAAAAAGACAGTGAGTTAGTGCTACATACTCGAATCCTTGCAGGCACCCAAGAAAGCCAAGAAGAGGATCGAGGGTGCTAATTCCAACGTCTTCTCTATGTTCGAGCAGGCCCAGATCCAGGAATTCAAAGAGGTAGGTGGATTTTGCAGAAATGACCAAGGGTCCTTGACACAGCTTGACCTTCAGCTCCTGCCTCGGCGCTTTGCCACTGGTGATGGTCAGCGTGTGACGGGAGGTGGCGTGCCCGTTTTCAAGCTGCTTTAGTTTAAAAGTGAGAATAACCATTTGGAGACATTGTTAAATGGGGAATTACTGCAAAGCTTCCTAGGACAGTGGAGCCGGCAGCACTCGGAGAGCAGGGACGTGTCTCCCCGCTTCCTCGCGCCCGCAGCACCAGGAGCTCATGGGTCCTGTGTGGGTCTGTGTCCCCCAAAGGCCATGGGGTGAAGAGGGGGGCACTGAAGCCTTCTCAAGGGCTGGCACGTGGCCCCCATCCCTGCATTCCCTGTCCTCCTCCCGTTCCCCCCAGGCATTCACCATCATGGATCAGAACCGCGACGGCTTCATCGACAAGGCGGATCTGAGAGACACCTTCGCTGCGCTTGGTGAGTCCCCTTTTAGGAAGCTCCTCTCCCCAAAGTTTTGATGCCAGCAAAGCTATTGACTGAGAAACCCCCCGGGAGTCTCCGTTTAAGCAGCCCCAGTTAAAGCAGATCTTGTGTGTGTTTTGCTGAAAACCTCCTGATCCAGAATCATTCTTAGATGAGCAGATTGTTCACATGGGGAACCAGAGCAGCTCCTGCAGCAGAGGCTGTTTCAGCCTGTTTGTACAGAGAACACCGGCTCATGGCTCTCTCAGAGCCCCGTGGTGCTTTTGTTCCCTCGTGCTAAAGCACTTGTTCCATGGCATCCCTGGGACTCAAGGCTTTAGTGGGATTTTCAGGATTTATGGAGGGTTGTGCAGTTGCAGGGTTGGCTTTCCCAGCAGTGAGGCCAGCACAGACCAGTGACGGGTGCAGGGGCAGGCAAAGACAGACACCCCCAGGCACAAGGACACAGGCGCTCAGCCCTGCTGTGTCCGACACGTGGAGCCAGGAATGAATCCAGCTCCTGACGATCACGGCAGTGACCAGGTCCCTCGGGGGTCCCTGAGCACCGGTGGCTTTGAGAGCCGCCGGACAAGCGCTTTCCAGGGAGGAGTGGAGCAGAGGAAAGTCCTCCAAGGATCCACTTCCCTTCTGCACCTCCAGCCCCTGGATGCATGGAGCAGACCCTGGAGGTCTGCACCCAGCCGCTGCCCCGGCTCACCCGACACTGCTCTCCCCTAGGGCGCCTGAATGTGAAAAACGAGGAGATTGACGAGATGATAAAGGAGGCGCCTGGACCAATTAACTTTACTGTGTTCCTGACCATGTTTGGAGAGAAACTCAAGGGTGAGAAACTCATGGGCTGGGGGTTATGAGCAAGCCTACGCACCTCAGTTTCTCCAGTATTTAAAACAAGCAAAAGGCTGCAGTGCTGCTGTCCTCAAGGAAGAGTGGAGCCTGCGGCGGCTCTCAGCCTGCTGATGCTAGTGGTGGCACCAAATGGTCCCCCGCAAGGGCACCGGTACGGCGTGACTTTGACCCAGCCGCCCTGCAAGGCGAGTGCGCAGGCTCCCCGCGGGGCGCCCGGAGGCCCCACGGCCCCGCGTCCCACGCCTGCAGCGCTATAAATACACCCGGAGATTAGATATGTGCCGGATGCCAGCGCGGTGGCGACACAGCCGGCTCCGCGGGCACGCCACGACCGTGCATCTGCTCCTCCCCGTGCCTCGACACTTAAGGTTCCGGCCAGTGTGGGAGTCTGGTATTCCCGGCTCCGCGGGAGCCGACTCTCCTGGCCATCCGGCCCCCGGGATTTCGTGCAGGAGGCTGCGGGAAGCAGAAGGCTCTGCCTGACTTCTTCCTCCACTGATGGTAACAGACGGGGTGTTGTCACCCACAGGTGCTGACCCAGAGGAAACCATCCTGAACGCGTTCAAGGTGTTCGACCCGGAGGGGAAAGGCCTGAAATCAGCCTAGTAAGTGCAGAGGTGCTGGGGAGATGAGGGAGGCAGCTCGCACGGAGGCCTCCCGCACACTCACAATATCCCCTTTCATCTGCAGCATCAAGGAAATGCTGATGACGCAGGGCGAGAGGTTTTCCCAGGAAGAGGTACAAGTTTCTTCCCACCCTTTCCCATGTTTCCAGCCTCCAGCCCCCTCTATGCCACATCCAAGCTGTGCTGGCTTCACCTCCCCTCCTCTCCCGGGTCCTCTCTCCTGTTTCACGGTCTAGCTGTCCCCATGGTGGGTGGCAGAGTAAAGTCACATCCCCAAGGAACCCTCTGGCCACGGAGCTATGAGGGGGCTGCCAGGGCCCACCAGCCACCACTCACTCGGCAGCCCTGAGCTCAGCAGGGCAGAGACCCGGGGTTTCTTTCCCACAGGGGTTAGGTGGCCCCCCAGCTCTTCTCCTTCCCGTGCCACGTTTTCACCTCCGGCCCTTTCCTGCAGATTGATCAGATGTTCGCAGCCTTCCCTCCAGACGTCTCCGGCAACCTCGATTACAAAAACCTCGTCCACGTCATTACCCACGGTGAAGAGAAGGACTAGCCCGCTCGCACCCTCAGCACAGGGGCCGGCATCATGGGATCACCCCTCCCTGTGTCATACCGGGGTCTCTCTTTCCCCTCCGTCACCAGCTCCTCTCCTTGATCCCACCCTGGCCCAGCTCTCCATCTCGGGGAGTCCAAATGCGATCAGCAAAACATTAAACTGCATTTTGGTGAGAGGAAATGCTGGTGTGAGCAGTGCTTGGGTTTGCATGGGCACTGGTGGGCAGTGTCCATGCACAGTGTTCACCTTCCCGGGTCCGGAGGAGGCTACAAGGGCCCTGCTCCTGCTGGCTGCTGTGGGATCTGGGATCTGGCTGTCCCAGCACCGCTGTTCCCCAGGCTCTGGGCCCCGCTTCCACCAGCCCTGTGTGCCCTGTTCTGCCGGTGTCCCAAATGCCCTGTGCACACCCAGCTACTGCCCTTGCGCCTTGGGCTAGGACTAGCATCCACTTGGACCCACCTGCACAAGACCAGGCAGGTTTATCCCCTTCTGCAAGGCAGCAGGAAGCTGTTGGCTTTCCGGAACACCCAGCAAGCGCCTTCATCCCCAGCACACCCTCCCCGAGGCCATGGGAGCAGGCGGGAAGCAGGATGGGGACTCTGAGCCCCCCATCTCCCTCCTAGCAGCCACTGAAAGCACCAGGGGCTGCAGCAGCTCCCTCGTGCTGAGCACACACTGGGTTGTGCAGGGAGGAGAAATGACCATGAAGCTGGGGTACCTGGCCCTTGGGGCTCTCTACAGTCCGCCTACAACCCTCTCCAAGGCCATTTTGGGTGCATTGCATATGTCAAGCATGCTAAGCAAACCCAGTGTTGATTTATCCTGGCTCCAGCCTCAGCCTGACCAGGGTAAAGTGGAATGGGGGCCACCCCAGCTCTTATCAGCTCAACAACCCCTTCCTCCCTGGCCCGTGGAGCTTCTCAGTGATGCCGGGGAGCTGTGGTCTGCACTGCTATGGCAGAGCAGTTGTCACTGCCACTAGATCATCTGGGGAGCACTGATGCCCGCAAAGAACACAGGGAGAGGGGAAGGGAAAGGGAAGTTGCAGTGGGATGGGCACTACTCAAGCACAGGAGGAGAACAGGAGCGAAGGAAGGTCTCAGTTTAATTCAGCACCTCCGTCTTTCACGCACTGGCGTCACCCTTGGCCTTCCTGCCCTTGTCCCCAGCGTTGTTCTGCTCCTCTTGGCTCTCAAGAATCAGCTCGCGCAGGCGCCCGTGCTCCAGCGGCTCCTCAACTGCCCCCAACAAAATGGCCGCCCCACAGTGACCACAGCGCCCGGGCCACCAGCCTTATATACCCATCGGGGCGGGGCTGGCCATGCCAGGACAGGCGGCAGGCGGGGATTGGCCAGGGGGGCGAGGCGGCTGTTGCGGGTTGGCCGGGTGGCGGGCGCGCTCCATGGTGCGGACGAGCCCGGTGCCGCCCAGGAGCGGGTTGGTGAAGGGCAGCGCGTACTGCTCGCCCTCGGCCTCCGCCTCCGCGTAGCGCAGCAGCGACGCCAGCAGCAGCAGCTCGTTGGTCTTCTTCTCTATGATATCTGCATGGGGAGGGCAGCGGACATCCCACAGGGCCCCACTATGGACCCCCTGCACTGACCCAGGTTTCTGGCCACCTCTGCCTTGAGCCCGTATACTGGGCATGGGCCTGATGCAAACTGAACAGGGCTCCAACAGGCACAACGTTGACATGAGTCCAGTGTTGGTCCTTTGACCACCACGCAACGTGTTGCGCCAGGAATGAGAGTCCAAGACCTCCCTGTAGCGCCAGATCCCTCCCCAGAGCCAACATGAGGGCTTGGGGACCCACCAAGCTGTACCATCAGGTGAGCTCCATGTGAGCTGGCCCCCCGCTTCCCGTTGAGTGGGGAAAAGCCCGCTCCACGCGGCGGGGAAGGTGCCGGACGCACCGAAGAACTGCCGCAGGTTCAGATCCGTGATCTCCCCCGTCTCGCCCAGCTGCTCCTTTATCTTTGTGGCATCGCAGTTCATCTCTTTGAACAGGAACTCCACAGCAGATTTGAGCTGGCCAAGGGTTTTGCTGCTCTCTTTGCAGCTCTTCTCGTACTGGTTGGCTTCCTCAGTGGTTTTCCTCAGCTTTTCCTATCAGCGAATGTTTCACGAGGTGTTCTGAGAAACCTCTGCCTGCTCCCCCATCCAGACTGGCCAGCTCCAGGCTGGATGTTGGAGATTCCCTAGGGGTTGGGATGTTCCCATCCCTATAGGGCACAGCCGAAGGGGCTTCCCGTGGCACAGCCCAGGCCCCCAGCTCCGAAAGACCGGGGTTGGCAGGAGCCCTGCAGGGATCCTGTCACCACGCACTGGGATTTTGCAGGGAAGAGGACTGCAAAAGCCCTCCCTACCTCCAGCTCCTTCAGGACGTGAAGGTCACTGTTCTCTGCGTTTTCCTGGTCCGTCTCAAGGAGCGTAATTTCGCTCTGCACAGACAGGAGCACAGCGGGAGGCAGAGGCTAAATGTCAGGCAGAGGCTCCAAGCTCTCCCTTTGCGCTGCCCTGGGATCGGGCACCTGCTTGGAAAGCTGGCCCAGACCCTCCCAACGCGGCTGCTTTGCAGCAGTGAGTCCCCTCCAGCAGGTCCTCCTGCCTGGGGACGGGTGCCCTGGGAGCAGGGACACCAGCGCGGTCCCTCCGGGAGCCGCCATCCCCAGGCCCCGAGGGCAGGTCCCGGTCCCGAGGACGTTTCCTCTCGCTCCAGAGCCCACCCGGAGGGGCTGGAGAGGCCTCCCCATCCCGGAGCTCCCCTTGCAATGTGTCTGCCGGGTGCACGGTGGCAGCATTGCGACATTTTTGGCTCTGAAAGCCGTTTTCTGTCCCCCCGAGTTACATTTCTGCATTCTCCCAGTCACACCAGTGCGGTGGCCTGTGAGCTGGGCCCTGGTGTGACTGGTGGTGCTGGACAAGCAGGAGAAGCAAAGCCTACCCCAACCCAATGACACTAAGCGAGAAAAAGGAGACACAGGAGCCTCGGAGCAGCGCGGGAGCAAACCTGGAGGTCCTTGATCTTCCTCTGCAGCCTCTCCATCTCGTTGTTCAGCTCGGTGGCGTAGCTGAAATAGGCGAAATTCTTCTCCTCCTTTTCGATGAAGCCCTTCACGAGCTGGTCGATGTCCCCGTTCTCGGCCAGCTCCAGCAGGCGCCTGTAGGCCACCTCGCGGCTCTCGAAGCTCTCGCCCCGCCGCCGCTTGGCCCGTCGCACGGCCTTGAGGGCTGCGGGACAGAGACACGCGGGGCTGCACCTCTCCCCCACGGCAGGCCAGGGGCAGAGCCCGACCCGGGGGCGCTCGGGGCAGCTGCTTCCCCTGGAAACTCCTCAAGGAGCTCACGGTCTGCACGGGAATGAGAAAAACACGGGGGAGTCGCTCCCTGCGAGGGAAAAGCACCTAAAGCTGAGGAAGAAGAACCGTAGTCTTCCTTAAGGTGCACGTGGGGCCAGTTCCCTGCCTCCCCTCGAGACACACAGTGCTGTGTGGTGTCACATTAGGGCTGTTCGTCCTTCTCCTCGTAGCCCCTAGTGCAGGTTCTCCCCTTACCGGAGCCATGGGCCCCTGCGCTGGGTGCTGCCAACTTCTGCATTCAGCCCCCCGCCATCCCCACGGGCTCCTGCAGCTGCATGCGGTTTCTCTCACGTGTTACCTTCTTCTTTTTTCGCCTTTTCCTCCAATTCAGAGCGATCCATAAATTTGATGAGCATGAAGTTTTTCAGCTTGGTCTCCTGCTCCAGAATACGCTCGCGCTCCTGCAGCTCGATGTTGTACTGCACGGTGTCTTTGCAGTGCCTTTCCTTCATGGCAGAAGTCCTTGCCAGGGCCTCCGCCCTGTGCACACAGAGCAGTTACACACCGCTCACACCTGCAAATCCATCCTTCCTCCAGGCATCCATGGACACAGACTGAGCAAAAATGCCACAGAGCACAACCCGAGACAGCTCCTGCGTCACAGGCTGGGCCTAGAGGACCTGGGGTCCCCACGGTTTGGCTGCTGCAGTTGTTGCCACCCCAGAGACCACCAGGTAGAAAGCAGCACAGCTTACAAATAAATAAATAAATATAAATTTGAGATTACCCCCGTGTACGGCTGTGCCTGACCCAGCAAAACTGGGCACAGCAGTGAGCTCTGCTCCAGGCACAGCTCCCCAGAGGTGCAAATGTCTCTCCTTTGACCAGGACAGACCTTTTCACAGCACCCACTCTAGACAAGAAGGTGATGAACCCTCTTCTCTCTGAAGTCACCCTTTGCTGCTGGCTTTACCACGAAGGGCTAAGGAGGCCCCGTACCGCTGCTCGTAGGCTTGTGTGGACCGCTCGATGACAGTGTTCATCCTTCTGTTCTGTTGATCCAGCCTCTTGTTAAGGTTGGAGGAGAAGTTGTCCAGAATGGCTTTCTGGATTCGCAAGTTTTCAACCTCTCTTCGGAGCTTGCTGTTGGTGGTCAGGATGGTGTCGAAATGCACAGTGACCTGGCAAGAGGGACGCAGAAGGTTTGTGGGTGAACAGGACTGGAGAGCTCAGGCCCCTCATGAAAAACCATGACCACAACCAGGACAAACAACCCAAAAGGTCCTCAGTAGGACTTGTGCTATCCCCATCCCCAAGACAGGGGAGGGCCCCCCAGGCAAGGACGATGGTGGCAGAGAGCTGGAGCTAGCATCGTCCAAAGCGAGGCTGGATTCAAGCTTCTGTTTTATCACTAAAACAGTGATTCAAGGTTCTGTTTTATCACCAAACAGGTGCAGACCTTCGGGCTTCTCAGCATGGTGTAAACACTGCATTTGGGTCACCTGGCTTGAAGGAGCCTTTGAGATACTCGGGAAGCACTCAGGCCAGGGCACCAAGCTGAACCCTTGGGGCAGCTTGTGTGGACCAAATGCATTTGCACAACCATCTTTTATCCTCCTCAAGAAGCATTTTGCACGCAGGCCCCAGCCTGGCACCCCGCGTGGTTTACAAAGCTCTGCAAAACGTTTGCTTACGTGATTTAGACGCATCTCCAGTGTCTGAATCTGCTTTTGCAGCCATTTGCCGCTATTTGCTTGCTTCACCTTCACCGCTATCAGGTTTTGTCTTGCGATCTTTTTTTCCATTTCCATTATCTGCACACACACACACACACAAATTTAAAGCGCAATCTCTAGTCTTACAGTCCAGACTCATGTCAGAACACTTAGCCAGAGAAAATACCTTCTGGTTGACCCGGGCTGTAGAAATCATGTCATTAATGAGTTCATAGTTATAGAAACTATGGTTTCTATAGCCATGGATTAATCCCATAGCACAGTCCCAAACCCTCTTTAACCCCGTTGGAGAACACCCGTGCTGCTGCTTGTGCAAAAAACCCTACCGATGGCTTTTTTATTACTCGGGTGAGATTTACCAAGATGTGTGACAGGGGGAGGTGACCCTTAGGAAATGTTCCATGAGGTGCATTTACGTGGGTCTGCTTTTCCTCCTCAGCTGCAAACTGAACGTCCAGGCTGTGGTGACACCGTGACAGGGCTGCTCAGAGCACCCCGTGGTGCTCGCTCGGGGAATGGCTCAGATGCTCTTACCTTTTTGTCCAGGTCAGCTAACATGTCTTTTCTGGCTCTGATCAAAGCATCATAGTGATCTCTGGTCTGCAAAAGGAATTTAAACTCCGCACGATTTCTGTCATCCAGCATCACATTTCTTGGGGACTTGATATGGCTCAGCATTAGTGACATCTCTTTGTGTTCTTGCTTCAGTGAATTTATTTCTTTCCTGTAGATAACACCAAATGACATTTAGCACATTCTGCCTGCACAGCCAGGGCAGGTTCTTACCCCTTCCCGTCTCCGTGTCAGAGTGCCCTGAAGATCTCGGCTTGGAGGGACCTCCCGGTCGCAGGGAGGCCGGCTGAGGCTGCACTCACTCCTGGATGCATATTTGGTGCTTCAGGTTGGCTCCAAAAGATTTCCTGCTTTCCGCCAGTATCTGGAACCGCTGCTGCAGCTTCCTGAGCTCTGCCTCAGCCATCTTCTCCTTCTCCTTTGCGCTGAAGTCTGAAGCCATCTTCTTCAACGAGGACCCTCTCCACCACTGCAGAGGGAGAGTCTGATCACTTAAGAAAACACAGTTGGACACAGGCAATCGTGACCCAAGTGACCAGAGAGGTCCGAGGCATCCCCGGCTCCAGCTCATTGAAGGAGGCCCTTGCGGGTGACACCGGCTGAGCGGGAACGTGCACCGGGAAGGCAGCTCCTAGCTGGAAAACTGCCCAGCTGGTGGTGCTGAGGCCACAGCAGCTCGAATCACATCAGGGCACCTGTGTCCTCAGCTAGCTCGTATTCCCCAGCCCTTGCTCCCCCACAACCCACATTACGGGACAGTCTCATCCCCACGATGGGGGATCGGCATCGGTCTCCAGAGCAGCGCAACCACTCGCTGGGAGAAGGCAGAGGCAGAAAGTCTCTTCCCCATGCGCTGTCCTGGGGACAGGCACTTCTGTCCCCACAGCAGGTCCCGCTGCTGGGCAAGCTCCAGTCTGCACTGTGGTTTGCATCTTACCTTCGAGCCCTTCATTTTGCCCAGCTAATCCAGCCGTTTGCTCTGCAAACACCAAGAGTCAGGAACGAGAGACCCTCTGCGGGGACAGGCCTGGTTTGGGAGGGGAAAAATGAACCGTGGTTAAGGAGACGATGTGTTTGGGTCAGCAGGTCTCAAACACATCTCGCATCCCTCTGCCCAGCGCTGAGCGCCCGCTCGCCTGTTTGGTGCCGGGGGAGCAGTCACAGATGGCTGCACGGCGAGGAGCAGCAGCGCTCGCAGTGATGTCACCGCGAAACATGTTCCCCTCATCGAGTTTAGAAGCAGGCAGAGAACAGATGGCTCGAGCTATTCCCACCCGTTTAGTACCCGGGTTTCCATAGAAATTCGAGCGGGACCAGGCGCCCCCGGCGCGCGCAGAGCCCCCCGGGCCACGGGCCCCGCTGCCTCCCGCAGGGCGCTGGGATCACCCCCTGGGATCACCCCCTGCCCTGCGCGGATGGGGGGACCACGGGCAGCCCCCGCGGGTGATCCTGGCCCCAGCCCGTGTCGCGATACCCCCAGGACGTGCCAATGGAGACCGGGTTTTCCGCACTCACCTGTGGCCGCACCGGGCAACCGCGGTGCCGCTGTGGTTGCCACGGCGCCCACGCGGGATCCAGCCCCGCTGCCGGGCACCTCCCAGCATCCCGGGAGCCCTGGGAACCCCGGGAGTGCATTGCCCAAAGGAGGGCACGTGCCCCTGCAATAGCCCTGGTGCCAGGTGCTCCCGTGTGTCCCTGGTCGTGTGTCCCTTGCAGGAGAAACCCTCCCCGCTCCTGGTTTCCTTGGCAAGATCCAAATCCACCCCAACAACCCTGGGCACAGAGGCTTTCGTTCCAACCCATGAGCAGCTCCAGGGCCCCCACTCCTTGCCCCGCTCCCGGCTCCCTGTGGCTCCCAGCCGGTTTCCATCCCTGCCGGCAATCATCACGCTGGCCTCCCCTGGGAATGAAGCATCCAGACACCCGCAAGGCAGTCAAGAGACCCCCGGGATGGAGCCGCGAGAGGTGCTGCTTGGAGAGCCAATATAGAGACACACCTAGGATTTGTGCCTGCTGCTCTCCTTTCCCTAGGGGATGATCCGTCCCTCCGGAGCTGCCGAGAGGGCTGCCTCTCTCCGGGGAGGATTTGGGATCCCTGGAGCACGTTGCAGCCCGGGGGTTGTTGACTCCTTGCCGGGCTGGAGCGGAGCAAAGAGCAAAGGGGATTTGAGCCAGAGCACACGGGGCTGCAGCGGGTTCCTCAGCCTGAGGAGAGGGGCGAAACCCCCGAGCAGCTCCCGGCCCCTGGGGCTGCATCTCCCCATATCCCTCTGGCGAGCACAGCAACCAGCGAGCAAAATCCGGGCTAATTCACAGCCAGATGAACTCTGAGGACGCGTTTAATTGGAACCGATTTTCCTGGAAGGAAGCGGGATGCGGCGTTGGAGCCACGACAAGCGCAGAGCGGCGCTGCGCGGGCACCCGAGCTCGCCCGGCCCTTCCTCCCCGGCGTCCCGAGAGGCCGGGGGAAGACAAGCGGCCTTTTTGTGCCGGTTTTCCGTGCTCCATGGGATAACACCTACAACCTCACCAAGGATCAAGTTGTCACCTGGTCTCGGCGGTCCTGACCGTGCCATATTGCAGCTCCTTTCCCCTCATTTCCTCACTCTCATCCTCAGCAGAAATTTCAGGTTCAGGATAAAGGTAGAGCCACGGGGATGGGCATGATCTTTTCCAGGAAAGAGGCAGCTCCACCGCCCTTGCAGACAGCCTGGATTTCCTTGGATCAGGATAGGGAACAGGCCAGCCTCCACACACAGGCAGCACGGTCTGTGCTTTGTGCTCCTTCTGCACGGAGCCATTCTCAGTCATTGAGCCAAGAACAACCAGTAAATTAAACTACAGATGAGGAAACTGTTTTGCTAGAGCCTGTGTCTGTCACACTCATTACAGAAGCATTTATTTTACTGAAGGGGACATTTTTTCACCCAAACAATGCTCGACTGTCACACTCGCTCTAAGTGGGACTTCATTGTCTGGATGGACCTTCAAGCTGGGGCCAAGCAGAGTGGGAATCTAAGCAGGAAAACTGGAACGTTTGAATCCAGCAGTTCTCTATCTTTGGGGAGAAACAGAAGAGAAGTGACTTGCTCTGCAATTTTCATCATTTTAACTATCTTCCTCAATTTAACAGATACACTTAAGCTGATTGACATGGAGAAATTACTCCTTCAGCTGCAGATTTTGGGTCTAATTAGAATTGCATGCGCTATTTTAAGGGCCACATTCTGATCCGTGCAAGCAGGGTAAGTTCTCCCTGCTTTCAGCAACGGTGCTTTGAATTTCCTGCCTTTCCCCAGCCTGTGGGGCCAGTGTTGCTGGGCTGCTGCTGTCGCCCTTTCCTGGCAGCAAGGAAAATCCCTGGGGAAAGCGAGAGACTCGGACCCGTATTTCCATGCAAACGTAATACATTCATGTTACTTAATCCCTATTTATAACAAATCCAGAACTTAATTCTACTTAACCCGTCTTCAGCGTTTGACACATGAAATCTGTGAGTCACAAGACTATATGCGGAACTGTCAAAACTTTTTCTTCCCTCAAAAAGCCTGGATTAAATCATAGACAGACTCGCAGCAGCTTTGTGGAGAGGAGAAGGAAGATGGAGGAAAAATCTCCGCAGCTGGGAGTGGGATGGGGAAACCTCAGGGCTCTGGAGCACGAGCAGGTCCATCCCTGCGGGAATGCCGTGCTGGGCATGAGGAATGATTCTCCCTTCCTCGTCTCCTGTGGGTGGGTTTCCTCGGAGCTGCTGGTGGTTTCCAGCAGCGGAGCGGCTCCTTCGCGCCCTTCCTCAGGGTTTTTAAAGGATCATTCCAAGGTGCCCGGGCCTTGGCAAAGCGGAGCTGCCTCCCGCTGCAGGATCAAGCGGGAGCCGGGAGCTCCCAGGGAAGCCTGCTGGGCGCCCGGCACATCCAGGGGCAGTGCCAGAGAGGCCAGATGGAGAGACGGGAACGCGGTGGGAGGCGGGAAGCGGCCGGGGAGGCAGTGGGACAGCGGGATGCAGGAAGGAGGGCCCTGCCCCGTGCAGTCCTGCACAGCAGCACTACGGTGCAGCCGGGTTTAGAAGCTTTATTTCCCATTAACCACCCCCTGCGAGCCCGTGACGGGCTCTGGCTCAGGACTAGGAACTCGGCACTAGTCGAACGCACTCTGGAAATGACTTCAGGCAAGCAGGATTTGCCTGCGTCACTCAGGGAAACTAATCGGAATCCATATTCAAAGGCAATTACTTAAACTCTGCATGAGCATCCTGCAATTGCTTTCCTTCGCTTGGTCTTATATTACTTTCCTCTTCCAAATTAAGTGAAGGCCGATCGATTTCTCGGGAGGACATCGGCCCAGCAAAGTGCACGGCCAGATGCCAGCAAACAACCCGGGTGGATGAGCAGGACTTCTCCGGAGCGGAGAGCTGGGAATGGCTCCGGCCCGGCACGGCCGCTGGCGACTTGTCTGTTCCATGAGGCCTCGTCTCCCCGTAATGACCCGTGGGGACCCTTTCCCTAAGGCTGCATCCCAGAGCAGCTCGCTCCGGGTATCCCAGCCGTCTCCCAACAGCATCCCAGCCCTGTTCCGAGGCAGGAGCAGCCTGTTGGGAACAACTGCACCTTCATTAAACCTTGTTCCTGCATCCGCGTCCTGCCCCAACTGGAATGGGCTCCAAATGCCCTCAGTTTGGGTTTATTATAAACAGGGATCGCAGCAATTAACATTGTGGTGGGGCTGTGGAGAATTATTATTATTTTCATTATTATTATTATGGTTTTGGAAAGAAAGGGCTTTACTTATCTACACATATACATAGTATATGTATATACTCTTCGGAAGTGTTTCAGCTGGCCTGCAACAGCTCCCATGCTCCCCTCTAACAAGGCAGCCCGCGCCGGGCGCTCCCCGAC